GACAATCTGTGACTTAGAGTCATAGACATACACAGCATGGAAACAAACCCTTTGGCCCAACTCGTCCATGTCAACAAGATATCCAAAACTGACCCTGCCCCATTTGCCAGCATTTGGCCCGTATCCCTCTAAATCCTTCCCATTCATATAACCCATCCAGATGCCTTTTTAATGCTGTAATTGTACCAGACTCCACGACTTCCTCTGCCAGCTCATTCCATACACATACACCACCCTCTGCATGAAAAAGTTGTCCCTCAGTTCCCTTTTAAGTCTTTTCCCTCTCCCCTTAAACCTATGCCCTCTAGTTTTAGACACTCTCATCCTGGGGAAAAGACCTTGTGTATTTATCCTATCCATGCCCCTCATGATTTTATAAACTTCTATAACCTCACTCCTCAGCCTCCGATGCACTAGGGAAAATACATCACACTTTGGTGGAACGTTTTGGGGAGTAAGGAGACAAGTTATTTGCTAGATAACTCCCAATTTCTGACTGAGAGGATCAAGAGCTTCCACAAATGCCCCGGATTTAATAGTTAATGATCTAAAGTGGGTGAACTTGAGGACATGTTCAATGATGCTGCACTGTTCAATGCAGGTTGTCCCTGATATAGCGTAAGTGGTAGAAGTTGAACTTTAGATTCATAGAGTCATAGAGACGTACAGCATAGAAATAGATCCTTCAGTCCAAATCTCCATGCCAACAACATATCCTAAACTAATCTAGTCCAATTTGCCAGCATTTGGCCCATATCCCTCTAAACTCTTCCTATTCATATACCCATCCAGATGCCTTTTAAATGTTGTAATTTACGAGCCTCCCCCACTTCCTCTGGCAGCACATTCCATACACACACCACCCAATGCATGAAAAAGTTGCTCCTTAGGTCCCTTTTACATTCAACCTATGCCCTCCAGTTTCGGACTCCCCTACCCTGGGGAAAAGACCTTAACTATTCACTCTATCCATGTCCCTCATGATTTTACAACCTCTATGAGGTCACCCCTCAGCCTGCCATGCTCCAGGGAAAATAGCCCCAGCCTATTCATCCTCTCCGTATGGCTCAAACCCTCCAACCCTGGCAATATCTTTGTAAATATTTTCTGAACCCTTTCAAGTTAAACAACATCTTCCCTATAGCAGGGAGTCCAGAACTGAACACAGAATTCCACGAGTGGCCTAACCAATGTCCTGTACAGTTGCAACATGACATCCTAATTCCTATACTCAATACACTGACCATACCACTCACCAAACACCTTCTTCACTATCTTGTCCACCTGTGACTCCACCTTCAGAGAACTATGAACCTGCAAGCCAAAAGTCTCATTGCTCAGCAAAACTTCCCAGGACCCTACCATTGAGAGTATAAGTCCTGCCATGATTTACCCTACCAAAATGCAGCACCTCACATTTATGTATTGGCCCATCTACAGCATGGAAATAGGCCCTTCGGCCCAACTTGCCCAAGGTCTGATCTAGGTCCCGTTGTACACTGAAATAACCTTCTTCACGATCAACTACACACCAATTTTAGTGTCACCTGCAAACTTACTAAACATGCCTCCCATATTCACGTCCAAATCATCTATATGAATGACAAAAAGCAGTGAACCCAGCATTGATCCTTGCTGCACACTGCTGGTCACAGGGCTCCAGTCTGAAAAACAATCCTCCACCACCACCCTCTGTCTCCACTGTTTGGGACTCACAAGTTACTGGAAACCCACTGCCAAGCAGCTGGGAGTTGGTGACTTCACTCGCCAAGGTGTGAGGGATTCCTATTGTGTTCATGTGGTTATATTCATTGCAAGATAAAACCATATTAGAGGATTAAGTGTGCAGCAGAATGCAGACATATACTGGCAATGAGAGGCCTTATGTTATGGAATTGCTAGATTCGTAGCACTGTGTTATGGATAATATTGAATTATCCGCCTTTATACGTTAGGGCTTAAGTTCTCTCTAAAATGAGTTCAACAACAAGAAGCATTGAGAGTGATGTATAATAAGTGGATAATTCAGTATAACCATAAATGAAAATCACTAGATACTTTTCCATACATTACCGAAATGACTTTGTAATTTTTGGCACATCATGAGGGATGTGTGCCATAGGAGAAGGCAGAGAGGAGAAAAGTAACAAAAGTATAATATCATTCTTTTGTGAGAGTGGTAGTGTGAAGTTATGAGTGTTCAATAACATGCGATCCTTAATAAAAGCTGCAACTAGATTTAAAGAGATTGGCAAAAGAAGTAAATGTACAGTGAGAAAAACACTTTTTCACATAACAGGTTTTTGGATTTGGAACGTACTGCCTGGATGTGCGGTGGAGGTAAGTTTGTTTGAGACATTCCGGAGGGCATTAGATGATTATTGAGATAGGAATGAAATGTAGGGGTCTAGGTAAAAGGCAGGAGAATGAGACTAAGTCATAATGAGAATCAGTGCAAACAAGATGGGCCAAATAGTCTCCTTCTGCACCACATCTACTCTGTGACGCTGTGATTTAAGGTAATGTTGGATTTAGACATTGAATGCTTAACATTGCAGTTACCAGAGAAAGCAGCAAGTACATGCAAATTTCACAGCATGCCAGCGGGATAAGGTTTGTGGTTGGACTAATACTGACATTTTATTGCTGGAAGTATCTGAAGCATTTACAAACTGTCTACGTTGCACCATGCTGACAGAGCATTTTCAACACGTTTGAAGACAGAACATCAGAATGACATATTGAAAGAAGGGCATTAATTTATAATAGTGTCTCTTACAAACTCAGAACATCCAAAATCACTTTACAATGCCTGAATTATCTTCTGACTTGTAACTACAACTGTAATGTAGGAAGCGTGGGAACTTAACTTTCACACAGCAAACTCTTGCAAACAGCAACAAGATAAGGACCAGATAATCTGTTTCAATGATATTGGATGAAAGATAAATATTAGTCGGGATACCATGGAGACCTTCCTTGCTCTTCTCCTTTTATTGTGGTCATGAGATCATTTATGTGCAGAAGATTCCACCTACAGACTCTAGATAATGTCAAAATGATGCTGCGTAAAACTGAAGCACGGGGATAAGTAATGACAAGCTCTGCCAGAACCTTGAGTTTACGCTTCATTACCTGTGTTTCATTAATTCTTCTCTGTTAATTTTTTGCTTCCCTAAGGCTTAATGTGATTTCCTCAATTTTGATACTTTAATTATTTTTGGTGAAATCACATGAAGATTGATGCTATGGTAAAAGCTGTTGTGAGGATGAATCTCAGGAACAGCAAGTGTATAATCGGGGGGTTGGGGTTGTTAAAGAAGACTTTTGCCAGGCAGCAGTTGGAAAAGTGACAAGCAAAAAAAAAATTGTGTTGTGAATGCAGCTGCAAGATGCAGCCACATCAATGATATCTGTCTGTGTTTGTTAGATATGATCTGGTACAGTAAAAACATAAATGAGTCTGTTGTATCCCTTTAGATCAGCTCATTTTGCCTCTTCCCTCTGACTTCATAACATCATCTTAAAATGAGATACAGGCTTTTTAGGAGCAAGTTCAAGAGTTTTTTTCCCACCCACACAAAAGACAGTGGTAGTCTGGCAAACTCTGCCTCAAAAGCTTGTGAGCTTTGAAGACTGAGATAGGTAGATTTTTGATGTGTAAGAACATCAAAGAGTATGGTGAAAAGAAGGCTGATTGGAGTTGATGTGCAGCACAGTCAATGTTATCACTGAATGGTCAAGCAAGCCCAAGGGACAGACTGGCCTCCTCTGATTGCGTTGAGCTCTGGTTACGCAGGTGCCGAGACTCTCTCTCCTGAAGATATTCCAAACATTTCTCTTGTCTGAGTTTCAATCAGGGGCATGAGCTAGCCAGTGAGTTATCAAGCTGACAAGTTTGATACTGCCTGCCCTGGTATACAAACAGCTTCCAATGGAGATTTTGCCTTATTGTCCTCACCAATTAAAGCCCTAAAAATAAATAGGAGCAGGGTGATACATTATGACCTCTCAAGTCAGTTGCACCATTCCATAAAATTGTTACCAATCTTCTACATCAGGTCCACTCTCCCGTACTATCCCCTTAGCCTTAATTTACTTAGTGCCCAAAAATCGGTCTTCAATATGGTCAATGACAGAGTACTCAGTCTTCTTGGGTAGGGAATTCCAAAAATTCACTACCAGTGAATGAAGGGATTTCTAGTTACCCTGATGTGACTAGCTAGCCAAGCTCAGCAGAAGAATAGGTCTCAGACCATCGTGAATCATATACCTCCTCCTGAAACAAATGCAAGCTAATATCAGTAACAAGGAATTCAATTCAAGCTGATGTCTTACCAAAGACATACTCAAGCTCTCCAGTCCTTAAATGCAAATATCCCACTTCCAATGTTTCAACTATTTAGTAGCTCCACTGACTGGAAAAGGAACTTCAGTGAGTGGTCAAGTCTTACTAGCCCGTAATTTTACAGGATACTGATCAGTCAGTCTCCAATCTAAAAAGATATTGATTAGTCAGTCTGTAAACTCCAGGTTATGGAGGAGTCAATCTATAATCTAATCAAGCAGTCTGTAACCTTTAGGTTACTGATTGGTCAGTCCGTAATCTGGTAGTATACTGACCAGTCAGTTAGTAATGTATTAATATCCTAACTGGTCGGTCAGTAATGTAACAGTATATTGACTAGTCAGTCAGTAATCCAGCTGTATACTGACTGGTGAGTTAGTTATCTAACAGTATACTGACCAGATGGTCGATAATCTAACAGTATACTGACCAGACGGTCGATAATCCAGCAGTATACTGACCAGCCGGTCGATAATCTAACAGTATACTGACCAGCCGGTCGATAATCCAGCAGTATACTGACCAGACGGTCGATAATCTAACAGTATACTGACCAGACGGTCAATAATCTAACAGTACATACTCACTGGTCAGTGTCAGTAATTTCACTTTGCACTGGGTGGTCAGTCTAACAAGATTTTCAGCCACTCACCATCATTCCTCTTGTTCTTTATCTGGTTGGTGATTTGTTCCTGAAACTCTGCGAGTGACTCTTCAATAGTTTCTGTCCGATGAGCTGACAGAGAGAAACGGCGCTTAAACTTCTTCATTTCACTTATTTTAATTCCACGTGATGGAGCTGGAAGAAAGAAGTGGTGTTGTGAGAACTGAAGAAACAGTGCCCCATCGCCTACAATGAAACTTCACACTCATAAAATTGATTTGCGTATTAAATTATTTCAATGCCATATAGGTATGGAGGTTTCTGAAAATGTCAGGTGAAAACCCAATTGTATTCTGCAATAGATTTTAGTAACAACTTAATCGTACAAAAGCAGAAGATTTCTAAAAGGGAAGGGGAAATAAAGGAATGGGTGAAGGTCATCCCATTCCCTTAGCGCTGTCCCTGTAATCACGACTGGATTGAATTCAGGTCCCAATTGTGAGAGATTCACTGCATTCAAAAGTCAAAGAGACTAGAGATCGGTAACATCTCAAACAACACTGCGTGGATGTAAACAGGCTCATGAAATTGGCAGAGAGGTGGCAGATGCAGTTCAATATGGATGATTTGTGAGGCAATGTGTTTTGGGATTAAACAAGACAAGGGGTATATCCCAGTTCTGAGGAAGAATTGCTCGACCTGAAACATTAACTTTGATTTCTCTCCACCGATGCTGCCCATACCTGCTGAGCTTTTCCAGCAATTTCTGTTTCAGTTTCTGATTTACAGCATCCGCAGTTCTTTCAGTTTTTAAAGGGTATAAACTCCATGGATAGAAGCTGAAGTGTTGAATGAACAGAGGCCAATGATTCAAATACTTTTGTTATAAAACATAACCCTAAGATCATGGATAGCACTCACTTTGAAGTCAGAAGATCATGATTTGAAGTCCTACTCCAGAGATGTGAGCCCATAATCTAGGCTGACGCTCCAAGTTAGTAATGAAGAAATGCTGCTTTGTCACAGGTGCCATCTTTCAAATGAGATTTCAAACCATTCGCTTGTCAGGTGGGTTCAAAATAACCCAAAGTTTATTCACAGAACAGCAAGGGAAATATTCCCGGTTTCTTGGACCAACATTGACCCCTCAACTAGCATCAGGAAAATAGATTGTCTGGTCATTATCACATAGTGACTTATTGGAACTTGCTGAATGCAAATTGGTAGCTGTGTTCCTTGCATTACAACAATGATCATATTTCTAAAGAGCATTTTTTTAGTAATAAAGCATATTGGTACATTCTGAGGTCATGACAGGTGCTACACAAATGTAAGTCATTCTTTCTTCAATCAGGGAGATTCTTGTTTATAATAAGAGGGTGTAATTTAAAAGGGCAGCAATAATAAATCAGTAACTTTCCAGATCACAGCAACTGTGACAAGGTTTAAATTCACAATTATGTGCTTTCATAGCCCAAGTGTCAAATCATTAGCATGTGATCTCTGCACAGTTTAACGCTGCCTCAGAGATCAACACAATCACAACATTTGTTCACAAAATAGAAAAAGCAAAGCTACTTCAAAGAGAGGTGAAGGAATTATCTCATCCTGACATATTTAAAGGGACCATGCTGCCTAAGAGGCAACAGTAACATTTAATGTAGACAACAACCCCATGGTGCTTCAGAAATGTGCAAGGATAAACAGATACAGAACAAAAGAAACAGACAAGTCTTTGGAGGACTGAAGTGGGTTTAACTGATGAGAGGGAGGTGGAAAAGTTTAGGGTATGAGTTCTAGAATGTGAAGTCAAAGCCATGAATGCTGTGGAAAAAGGTTACTGTCTAGGGGCAGGATGTAGTGTTACTGGAGATAATGGAGATGGGATAGAGTGAACTGATTATGCACATTTGTTGAGTGAGAAAGTCTAAATCTTTCATTTACACAAACCTAATTTTTAGTTTGTACTTTGTAATCAGCTTTAATCTAACATCTACGTAATCTAACATCCACATTAATATGATCATTGTTGTAATGCAGGGAACGCAAGTGCCACATTTGTCGTTACCAGCCTTATGCAGGGTTTTCTCAAGGGTTCTAGTGAAAAAGCAATTTGATTAAGAACCAACTGAAACTGGTTCTTCATTAAATATTTCAGACAGACCTGTTGTGTTGGGAGTGTATATAAGTAGCCAACTTAGTGTGACTTAGCTCTTGAGAGCTAAATATAGTCAAGTGCTGGATTTAAGCATCTCAAGGAGTTGAGGAGAGGAAGGAAGGAGGAGGCATTTGTTGCTTTCCCTTAAACAAAGCTACTAATTGGTGAACAGATTTGTGAGTATTCCTAGTCTTTAAGGTAAAAGTAAGGTCTTCAGTTTGTGTTTAGGTCTCCACATCTTTTTCTCTTTATCTTAAAAATAGCTTGTTGGCTCTAAGATTGATACTAGTGTTTAAAAAAATGATACAGTCTAAAGAGGGGGATTTCTTTAAATGTAAATAGCATGGTGAATAAAGTAATTAATAATTGTATTATTATTAATTAATTCACCAGGTTGTTGCCTGAAATGGAAAGTCTCAATGATGAAGAGAGACTGGATAGGCTGGGTTCGTCTTCCCTGAAACAGAAGACGCTGAGGGGGAATCTGATTCAGGTATACAAAATTATGAGAGGCATAGACAGGGAAGATGGTGAGAATCTCTTCCCCATGGCAGGTGTGTCTAAGACCAGAGGTATAAGTCTAAAATGAAGAGTAAGTGATTTAGAGAAGATCTAAGAAAAAAATTTTCACCCAGAGGGTGGTAGAAATATGGAGCGTGCTGCCTGAGAGGGTGGTGGAGACAGGTACTCTTGCAACATTTAAGAAGCATCTGGATGAGTGCTTAAAATGCCAGGACATTGTAGGATATTGACCAATTGCAGGTTAATGGAATTAGTGTAGTTTGGTGTTTGTTGGTTGCAATAGACATGGTGGGCAGAAAGGCCTGTTTCTATGCAGTAGAATCTATGAATTAAATATGATAGTGATCGTAGGACAGATTATGTTGCAGCATATGGGAGCTGATGGACACCAGGGTGATCCAAACCAAATACATCTGTAGTAAGTGTTTGCAGCTCAAGGAACTTTGGATCCACATTGAGGAGTTGGAATCTGAGCTGCAGGAATTTCACCACATCAGGGAGGGGGAAAGTTACCAGAACACCTTACTCCAAGAAGCAATCACACACCCCCAGACTAGGTAATTCAAAACTGGTCTGAAATCAGGGAAGGGAGTGTAGCACCATAAGTAGGTGCACCATAGGCCGATATGGGAACCCAAGGGGAGCTTTCACACTACATCAGCCTCTGCAATTGTCCAACAATTGACACGTTCTTTCAAGTTGTGTGGATGTGAGTAAGGACAGCAGGAAGGATAGCAATGCCAATTTACAGGAACAGTATAATTAGGGAATAGATACTGTTCTGTGTGTGTGTGAGTGGGAGGCCTGAAGACTATGTTACCTGGCCAGTGCCAGGGTTAAGGGCATCTCCCTCGGGCTGGAGATGAACTTGGAAGCGGGAGGGAGAGATCCAGTCATCAACAGGACGGAAAAGGACATTCTGCTGAAGACTTTGAACAGCTAGGAACTAAACTAGAAAGCAGAACTTCCAGTGTAATAATCCTGGGATCACTACCTGAGCCACGGGTACGCTGGCATGGTGGGGTGGAGGGGGGTTAAATAAAATCAAGGAGTCAAATGTGTGCCTGAAAGATTAGTATGGGTGGAATGGATATCAGTTCATGGGGCACTGCCACCAGTACTGTGGGAGAAGGAAGCTGTTCTGGTGGGATGGGCATCACTTTAACTGTGCTGTGACCAGTGTTGAGGCAAATCAAACAACCAGGGCCGTATAAGGGGGTTTAAACTAAATAGGTGGGGCAGGGTGCCTGAGAGGAGATGCTCAGGCATACAAAACAAAAAGATATGAGACCATTGCAGTGCAACTTTTTGGATAATGATACCCAGAGTTGGATAGGAAGGGGCAGAATGTACAAAAATGAAAAAAAAAATGCGGCAAATAGGGTCAAAGAGGGAAAAAGACAGTAAAATGGCAACATTAATGGCACTTTACTTAAATATATGTAGTATTTTTAAACATAATAAATGAATTAACTGCACCAATACAGTTTTTTGGGTATAATCTTTCAGTTATTACAGACATGATTACAAGGAAATCAAAGCTGGGAACTAAATATTATTCAGGGGTATGTAACTTTTCAATTGGAAAGGCAGGAAGATAAAGGTGCTGAGAGAGCATCATTAATTACAGCAAGAGGTGTTTTTGGATTGAATGATGTAGAATCTGTATGGGTGAAGGTAAGAAACAGCAAGAAGAAGATGACATGGGGAGGAGTAGTCTACAGGGACCCTAACACTGGCAGTTCTGTAGGACAGAGAATCAATCAAAAGGTAGTGAGGGGACGTAAAATAAGGCAGTTGCATTAATCGCACATGACTTTAATCTTTATGTTGATTGGGAAAATCCAAATGGCAGAAGTAACATGGGAACAGGAGTAGGCCATTCAGCTCCTTGAGGCTGTTCCACCATTCAATGAAATCATGGCTGATCTGTGGCCTAACTCCATTTACCTGTTTTTGCCCCATATCTTTCAATACCTTTGTTTAACAAAAATTTATTTATCTCAGAATTAAAATTAATAACTGATCCGGCAACGACTGCCATTTTTGGAAGAGAGTTCCAAATATCTACCACCTTTTGTCTGTAGAAGTGCTTGCTAACATCTCTCTTGAATGGTCTGACCTTCATTCTCAGACTGTGCCTCTCATTTGAGAATCCCCAACCAGTGGAAATAGTTTATCTTTATCTACCCTGTCTTTTCTTGTTAATACCTTGAAGACTTCGATCAGATCGCCATGAGGAAGAACTCAAAGCTTATATTCAGGACCATTACCTAGAATAATATGTTATGGATTCAACCAAAGAACAGGCTGTTTTAGATCTGGTGTGTAGTCTGTAATCAGGCAGGTTTAATAAATTATCTCAATGCAAAAGATCCCATAGGAAACAGTGATCATAACAAGATAGAATTTTGCATTCAGTTTAAGAGTGAGAAACTTGAGGAGGAAACAAGAGGTAAATTTAAATAAGGATAATTACAAAAGAATGAGGGCAG